AGGCAAGTTTCCACAAATTGATGAAATGTTTGTGTGTTCCACGCATCCTAATCTTGCACCAAAAACAATTTAGTAATAAATGATTTTTAAGTAATACTGGCACCAAATTTTTTTTCATAAAAATTTCACATAATGGTTGCATCCTATCTTTTTTGTAGAGAGTTGGCATAAAATCTGCAATGATCATATGGTGAAATACAGTATAGCAGACACTAATAGCATTTATTGAATCCTATAATCTTAGATTTAGAAAGATTCTTCAAAGCCATCCATTCCAGGCTCCCAACCAATGTGGCAACCTTTCTACAAAACTCGCAAAAAAAAGTGATCATACAAAATCTGCTTGTGCCACTCCAGCAAAAGAAAATTCACTGTCCCCTTTAATCACCCACTCTCTGTTGATTTTCTCTAATTTATCTTATATTGTATCTTGTTTGTACAATAATTGTTTCCAAATTATCTCCCCCATTAGACTGTGAGCTCCTAGAAGACACTGAGCATTTTTTACCTTTCTTTGAATCACCAGCACTTTGCCCAGTGTCAGGCACCATGTAGGCCCTTAATAAATGTTTGTTCATTGCCTTATGGGGAAGCTAATTATATTGTTAAATGGCTCTAATTATTGGGATTTTTTTCTCCATTGGGATGAAATCTATCTTTCTATGTCACTCATTCATTTTTCCTGGTTTTGATATCTGTAAAACCGCCCCCCTCCCCCAATAATCCAATGCCTCTTAAACATGATACCCTTTGTAAGATTTGAAGCCAGTCATCATTCCCTCACTTCCTTTTCCAGGAAAAAAAACATACCTATTCTTTCAACCATTCTTCATAGGACATGGTTTGGAGTTTTGTTTGCTTTCATCTGAATGTGTTTAAGAATGCAAAGTCCTTCCTAAGATTTGTTGCCCAAAACTGGACAAAATGTTCTAGATGTGGTTTGACCAAAGCAGTGTAAAAATGATTGCTAACCTTCCTTTTTATGGGCATCACATTTTCATTATAACAACTTGAGACCCCATTCTGATTAGTTTAGCAAATATTTACTAAACATGTTCCATGTACAACATGTAAGAGCCCATGCCAAGAGCTCATGGTACAAGACAAAAGCTAAATCTTTCCTTGCCTTCAAAGAGCTTTCATTATACTTGGGAAATATAACACATACACACATGTAAGTAAATAAAAAATAGTCATTTTAAGAGAGGGAGGGCCAATAATAGGAGGTATCACAGAAGGTATCAAGTAAGAGTTAGCACCTGAGCTGTGCTTTTAAGGAGGTAGGAAATTTATTCCATAAAGGTGAAAATGGAATGTATCCTAAATACTGGGCATCATTTATACACAGATATGGGGATGGGGGTGGAGAAGGTGTATGGGGAACAGGCAAAAAACAAGCTTGATAAAGATGAAGAATGTAGGTAATGGAATAATATGATATGAAGCTGTTGTTGTTCAGTCATTTTAATTGCATCTGATTCTTCTGACCCAATTTGGGGTTTTCTTGGCAATGATATCAGAATGGTTTGCCATTTCCTTCTCCAGCTCATTTTATAGATGAGGAAACAGAGGCAACAGGGTGAAGAGACTTGCCCAGGGTCACATAACTAGAAGTATCTGAGACCAGATTTGAACTCAGGTTCACTGAGCCACCTAGCATGATAAAGAAGTTGTTCTTTATCCTAGAAGCAATAAGGAACTTTTTGTGTCTTTTACGCCTTATCGAGGTGACTTAGAATTTACAGGAAACTGCCTAAAAGTTCAGGGTGAGATAGAGAGATAGTTTGGCTCTTCCTTCTCCTAAATCCTGAAGAGTCAATTCCATGGAGAAATCATGGCAAATATTGATGTCATCATCAAGTCACTGATCCCGAGCAGATATGTTGAAAATTATGAAATCTGAGAGAGCTGCTTCTCTGGGTAGAGCTATATTTGGGTGACTCAGGGTCCCCACCTTGCCTAGAAGATAGCTGTTGAAAAATATAAATGTCTTGAATTCCATATCCTCATTATTCTTGATGGTCCCTTCAGGCCCTACATGTGCCAAATTATGATGATTACCTGTCTGACATCATTCCAAATGACAAAATTCCATTCTAGGCAAAGCATGGAATCATGTGGACAGAGTCAAGAACATTTTTGCAGAGTGGCAGGTTGGATGGTCTCCCACCCAAAGGTTAGAATACACTGTCCCTTGGTACGAAGGTCTAAGACCCTAAATTGGAGGAAGAGGAGGATAAATAGATGAGAACACCTAAGAAATAAAGACACTCCCTAGCCATAAAGAACTTAGGGTGGCAAACAAGGTTAAAGTGACTTGCCCAGGGTCACACAGGTAGTAAGTGTCTGAGACTAGATTTGAACTCAGGCCTTCTTGACTCCAGGCCCAGTACTATATCCACTGCACCACTAAGAAAAGTTCAAGGGTTAAGGGCCTTGGAAGCAGTAGGGAGTACCTGCAGGCTTAGAGTAAAAGTCCTGGAGGTCTAGAAGAGTCTGTTCAACATGCAAGAAATGAGCTTTGCAAACAGGGTTGGCACAAATTGAAACACCATTTAGAATGCTGAGCTGCACTCAGAACTTACCAAGAGGCTCCGTATTCACTATAGAGAGTAGGTCACAGTTAGTACCTTAGGGAGAAGAATATGACAGAGCTTGCTGGGTTGAATATGCAGGTGATAGCAAAACCAAAGAGGAGCCCAGGATGAAGGGGGTGAACTTCTAGGTGCCAGAGGTGAAGCGACCTGAATGAGTCTGTCAGTCAATAAATATTTATTAAGCACCTTCTGTGTGCCACTCAATGTGCTAAGTGCAGGGGGATACAAAGAGACAGAAGACAGTTATTGAGATTGGTGACCTAATACAGGAATATGTGTACTGTCATGTGTGGTGAGGGGTGATAGTTAGATTGTTCAACAGGGATTCAAAAGAGGGACTGAGTGACTGTGCCTCAAAGTCTAGTGATTTGGGAAGACAGATACGGCAGAAGATGGTCTTGGGAGCTTAAAAAGAGGATAAAAATGTGACCCCCCTCAAGGTAGCACAGTGTTACTGCTACTTTTCAGAAAGAACAGATATAGAGTAGCAGTTTGGCGTTAATATTTATATGGTACTTAAAAGTTAGCAAAGAATTTTGTATATTTAAATTTTACAATTATATATAAAATATATAATACATATTTTACAATAACATATATATACATTTGATACTTACAAAAACCTTGGAAGTGCTATTATGCCCGTTTGAGGCTGAGAGTGCTTAATTAACTTGCATGGGTAATTAGTGCCTAAAGCAGGATTCAAATTCAGGTCTTTTTGACTTTAAGTCCAGGACTCTGTCCTATGTCAGCTGTCTTATGCCTATGTTAGAACATATATTATCCCATATAAATTCACTCTGACAAATAGCATTTTGGAGTCACCCAAGGCATAGTGCTAAGTGCACTAGCTTTAGAGATGGAGTGTCTGGATGATTCAAGTTCTGGTTTTGCCATTCAGCAGCCATGGGCAGAGAAGTGGTGTAGTAGACAGAGTGCGAAGTCAGGAGTTCAAATCTGGCCTCAGATATTTCCTAGCTGTGTGACCCTGGGGAAGTCATTTAACCCTGTTTACCTCAGTTGCCTCATCTGTAAAATGAGCTGGAAAGGGAAATGGCAAACCACTGCAGTATCTTTGCCAAGAAAGCCCGAAATCAAGTCACAAAAAGTTAGACGGAAAATGATCAAACAATAATCCCTGACATAACTGATGTTAGTATGACAGATATAACAAGTAAGAAGAAAGCAGAAATGTCTTCTGTTATATGAAGCATTTATTGGGGGCAGGAGGGGTCCCTGGAAATAGCTTTCGGTACAAGAAACAGAGAAAAATATTAGAAGAGCAAAGAAAATTCCGAAAGGGATTTAAGTAGGAAGGAAAGGAGAGGTGTCATTTCTTACAAGAATAAAGAGGCCAAGGGAGAGCGCAATCTAGTCCAGGAGCAATGGAGGAGGCGAATTAGGTTAGAGGAAGCAAAAGCTGTCTGGGTAAGTACATAATTTTAGGAAAAATGGCTGTAACATTATAGCATTCCAAATCAGAATGCTGACAGGCCTTCCAGGGTTGCCTCGATTAGCTTGTGTTCATGGAGGTATGAAAAGCATTTAACACATTCCAGTTCCTCTGATCTGCCAAGAAGCCCGTGGGGGAGATATAATGTGGATAATATGAGTCTCATTTTCCATGTGAAGAGGTGCCACTTTAGGGTTAGGAAAGCTGAAGGTCAGAAGGAGGCAAAAATAGATAAAACACAATGAAAAGGGAAAGCCCTTTCAGACTTAAGGGAATCATTCCACACCTTAGAATATCCTGAGGCTTGAATAGCCCAACTATACATGGAAAAGGGGGTGGGTGAAGGGGGCTTAGATGGAAATGATGGGGAGCAGAGAGGGAATTAATTGACTGCTCTACCCTAGAGCTTGTGGTAGAGAAGGATAGGAGATTTGGGCTTAGTTTGACGTGCACCCTTAATTGGGAGAAAAGCAGATTTCAGTAAATTCCACATGTCGAGTATGTCATAGTGACAATTTCTTTCACATGTGGGTTAGACCAGAAGGCCACTGAAGTAATTTGCAACCCTCAGATTTGCTATATCTGTGACCTCCAAATGGATGCTTTTTCTACGACAGGGTACTGCTTTTCCTATCACTTTTTAATATATTTTACTTCTGGGTTATCCACTGGAAAGCCTTAGGTACCTTAGTGTCCTCAGCTGAGACAAGAAATATATTAGATTTAATTAATTCTTCCTCAAAGGGCCGTGATTTCCAGTTAAAGCAGAAACTCCTGGATGAATCATTCAGGTAGGCAGCTATCTCAATGAGGCTTGCAAAAGAGGGAAGTTCTGGTCATAAATTTGAGTGTGGCAAGACATTTTCAAAATTGTAGGTGGATTACATTTTTGTTTGGAAGATAATCGGTATAGCAGGGGCTGGGGTTATCCCTGTTTCCTCTGGGTGGGACTTCCCAGTCCTATAAAAAGGCCGTCATTGACCGTACAGTCATCCACTGATCACCTGGTTCCTCATCTGCATTGGAGCATCTGGTGAGTCTGAGATCCTTCAGGGCTAACCTTGGGATTGTGATTTCTCTTAGAGGCAAAGGGGCAGAGGAGGCAGTTTGGTGGAATGGAGAGAGCCTTGGCCTGGGAATCAGAAGTCCTGGGCTCTGGGTTCTAGTCCCTGCTCTGTCTCTAACGAGGTGTGGGAATTTAAGGATGTCACTTCAACTCATTTGGCATCAGTTTCCTCCTCTCTAAAAGGTCGTTATTGGCCTATTGTTCATCTTGAAGACCCTTTTCTGCTTATACATTCTATGAAATACCATAAATGGATAATTTCACATCACATGCCTGAGATGGCCTTGTGGCCACTTTTGCTGTGTCCTAATTGTCACTGAAATGAACAATATTGATTAAAGAGCCCTGATCAGAAATGAGGAGATCTGATTGTAAGTCTTAGATCTGTTCCTCACCGGCTATGTGGTCTTAATTGAGTCACTTTTGTTCTGGGCCTCAATTTTTTTCATTTATAAAATTAAGGGTTAGTACAACATGATCACTAAAGTCTCCTCTAACTCTTTTTGATCTCCAAGATCCTTTTTAAAAAATTTTTTCTGTAAGATTTAATTTCTATTTGCCCCAAGATTCTTCTAAAACTGAAATTCTGTGGTATGTGTTATGGACACAGCATGTTGGAAAGGCATATCTGGATTTAAAGTAAGAAGACCTGGGTTTAAATCCTGGCTCTGCCATTTTGCTATTCCTTTGACCTTTGGCCAATTAGTGGGTCTTGGTTTCCTCATTAGTAAAAATAGCCATTAGATTCAAGGACCTCTAGGATTAGTTTTCACTCTGAATCTTGATCCTATGTTAAAGGGAGGCTCATGAGTTTACTTTTCTGATTAAAGAGGATTAGAGCAAACTGTTTAAGGTTAATGGTATACCAGTTGGTACTGGTGATTTTAGTTGCCTTTTCTGTGGATGGTCTTGTAGTCTAGGTCATACAGGAAAATAAAGAGGCCCAGAAGTCTAGGAAGGACTTTGACCTAAAGGATGCTGTGGGATATGTTAGAGTCTTTCTTACCCTGTACTTGTCTCCAATGATTGGGGCATAGGATCTTCCCCTGGTCCATCACAGTCACTAATCTGAGGATGAGCTCTTGGGGAAGTATGGGAACTGCTTGTATTATCTCTGTACAGCCCCTGGTATATCTCCCCCCGTGCCCCCTTCCCTGCCTTAGCCTTTAATCAGGTCCTTGTGGCTGTGGTGATGATGATGAAGATAATACCAACCTGGATTTATCATGGGATTAGTTAGAATGTCAGTGACTTTAGTCCTTTGTCCTCAAACTTTTGGCAACACTCATTGACCATTTATGAAACCATAGATACATGGAGCATTCATTCAGCAGACATTTATTTGTAACATTAGAGTTGATAGATTATTTGGTCCAGTTCTATCATTTTTCAGATGAGGACCCTAAGGCCCAGAAAAACCTTCTCTTTTGAGGTTACCTTCCATTAAAGTTCTTACGTGAACCTGTTTATTTACATGTCACCTTCCTCCTTTAGAATGTGAGCTCCTTAAGGGCATGGACAATGATTTTATCTTTCTTTCTATCCCCAGTACTTATTAGCACAGTGCCTGGTAAATTGTAAGAACTTACTCAATGCTTGTTGATTAATTGGTAGGCAGACTCATTTCTTCTAACTTTCAGATCAGTGTTTTTTCTTCTACATACACATATGTGTGTATGTATATACGTGTATATATATGTGTGTGTGTATATATGTATATGTATATTATATATGTATGTATATGTGTGTATGCGTGTATACTATACACATATGTTTACCATTTTGTGAGCTATGAATTTCTGAAGTGTTTGGAAAATAAACTGAAGACAGAGAAAGAACTAGCTAGAGGGACCAGTGAGTAGATGAGCAGTTGAGCAGTTAAAATAGAAGATAAAGGAACCCACTTGAAATCTGAACAATAATTATAAAAATTCTTTCAGGACCCATGATTTCATTGTGCTGATTCTCTCTTACCAATCTGTGACTTAGGCTAGAGTATTTATGAGTTGCTCTGCTCTCTAAAACTTATTATTTCCTGATAAAACTGAATTTAACTCGGCAGGTGCTCTGCTGATACAGAAATCCTTTTTTGCTTATCCTGAATTCGAATCTTTTCCAATGAGGAAGCATCTGCTAGTGCTTGTGCTCTTCAATCTTAGGCTTTGAGACTCCAGGTCACTTAGGAAATGGAAAACCACTAGAGTATCTTTGCCAAGAAAATCCCAAATACCATCATGAAGAGTTGGACATGACTCAACAATAACAACAGCAACAATAAGATGTTGAAGGAGGGTGTGAGTGAAGCCCATGTCGCTATAGAGCTTTACATTACGTAGGAAGCTTTCCTCATATAACAGCTCCATGAAGTACGAAGGTTAAACAGAGTGATATTATTCCTATTTTTGTTGGGTTTTTTGTTCAGTCATTTTTTTTCCAGTCTTGTCTAACTCTTTGTAGCTCCATTTGTTTTTGTTTTGTTTTGTTTTGTTTTTCTTGTAGAGATACTGGAGTGGTTTGCCATTTCCTTTTCCAGCTCATTTTATAGATGAGAAAACTGAGGCAAACAAGTCAAAGTGACTTACCCAGGGTCACACAGTTAAGAAGTGTCTGAGGCCAGATTTGAACTCAGGAAGATAAGTCTTTCTGACTTTAAGACCAGTGCTCCATCTACTGTGCCTCAGGAAAAATTAAATATTGTTGTTCAGTTGTTTAAATTGTGTCCAACTATCAATAGGTTCCTATTTTAGAGATAGTAGAACCAAGTCTCAAAGAAGTTTAAGTGACATGCACAAGGTTGTACAACTTGTGAATGTCAGACCTAAGATTAGAAGTCAACTCTTCTAACTGCTAATCTAGTGGTCATTTTACTAGCCTCAAAACTAGCCCAAGAGACTTCTAAGGTCATGATCTAGTTGAGTATGAAAGCTTAGGTCTTCCTGACCTTGGAAGTACTTGACTATGAATACTGTTGTCTGTTTCTTTCAGATACACGGAGATCCAGAAAAGATGTCCTACCAGAATCAGCAGCAGTGCAAACAGCCTTGCCAGCTACCTCCCAATTGGTCACAGCCTTGCCAGCCTGTGTGCCCAGAGGCATGCCCTCCTGTGTGCCCAGAGCCATGCCCTCCTAGGTGCCCAGAGCCTTGTCCTCCTAGGTGCCCAGAGCCATGCCCTCCTGTGTGCCCAGAGCCATGCCCTCCTGTGTGCCCTGAGCCATGTCCTCCTAGGTGCCCTGAGCCATGTCCTCCTAGGTGCCCTGAGCTATGCCCACCACAGCAATGCCAGCAGAAATGTCCTCCATGCCCTCCACCTTGTCAGAAGTAGCACTCTGGCCAGGGGGAAAGTGTCAGATGCTGGTAGCACCATGAAACAAGGAGCATGAGCATCCCTGTGGAAGCTGGGCTCCTCTTTCCTCTCTCTAAACCTCCATGCCCCTCTGATCTTGTTTTGCTCTGGATGGAATTCCTGGGAGAACCTTTGTTCCTGGAGCTACAATCATTTCAGAAACAAGGCTTCTACTTCATTCGTCTTTCCCAGCCCCCTCCCCACCTCCTCAGATGAGAGATGGCAGAGAAAAGATCAATCTACTCAACGCCAGGTGTCCTGGAACTTCAGGGGAAAGTTGACCCTCAAGAACCAGACTCCTGGCCCCCTGCCTCTGCATGAGCTCTCCTCTGTGCTGCAACCTGGGAGGGTGGACTCCATCCCTGGACCCTTATAACTCTTCCCACTGCCCCAAATAAAGCATATGTTTCACGGTGAGACCTGAATTGTTTTTTTCTCCCTTTCCAGCCTTCAGTTTGTCAAGTGGTGTTTTCCCAGATTCATGTTTCATGGTGAGGTCCAGGCTATCAATGGGAATAACAGGAAAGTATAGATAAATAGATAGATAGATAGATAGTAAAACTTTCTGGCTTCCCAAGTTCTTTATATCTGTTATTAACTTATTTATTCCTGATACCAACCTCATGAGGTAGACATGGTTGAGATTATTGTCTTCATTTATCTGATGAGAAAACTGAGGCAGTAGGAGGTGGTATGATTTATCTAAAGTCACAGCATGTATAATTGGTTGATGTGGGATGTAAATCCCTATTCTTTGCTTCTATATCCTGTAGTTTTTTTGTTTGTTTGTTTGTTTGCTTTTTGGTTAGGCAATGGGGTTAAGTGACTTGCCCAGGGTCACACAGCTAGTAAGCGTAAAGTGTCTGAGGTCAGATTTGAACTCAGGTCCTCCTGACTCCAAGGCTGGAGCTCTATCCACTGCGCCACCTAGTTGCCCCAGTTTATTTCTTTTTTAGGAACATTTTATTACATTTTCATTTTTACATTCTCTTCCTCCAATGCTAACCCCCACCCCCCAACTGAGAAAGCAAGAAAAATAAAACCCCTGTTAAAAATAGGGGCTTCTATAGACAGCTAGGTGGTACAGGGGATAGAGTGTTGGGCCTGGAGTCAGGAAGACCTGAATTCAAATTCAGTCTTAGATTCTTACTAGTTATGTGACCCTGTGCATGTCACTTAATCTCTCTTTGCCTCAATTTCCTCAATTGTAAAATGGGGATAATAACAGCACCTATCTTGCACAGTTGTTGTGAAGATCAAATGAGATTTGTAAAGCACTTAGCACAGTGCCAGGCACATAGTAGGTGCTTTGTAAATGCTTAATTATTTATTTCCTTCCCTATAGTGCAGCTAAACAAATTCCCAAAGTGACTTTTTCCATATATATATATATATATATATATACATATATATATATATATATGTTATGTATGTAGTACATTATATATAATTGAGATATGTGTGGATGTATGTATATATATACATATAAAGAGAGGGGGTCATGTGTGTGTGTGTGTGTGTGTAGATTATATATATACATATATATATGTGGGGGGGTGTTAACTATTTTAAAAAATGAAACTGCCCATTGTTGGTGGAGTTGTGAACTGATCCAGCCATACTGGAGAGCAATTTGGAAGTATGCCTAAAGGGCTATAAAACTGTGCATACTCTTTGATCCAGCAATGCCACTACTAGGCCTGTATCTCAGAGAGATTATAAAACATGGAAAAGGACCCACATATATAAAAATATTTATAGCAGCTCTTTTTGTGGTGGCAAAGAATTGGAAATTGAGGGGATGCCCATCAACTGGGGAATGGCTGAACAAGTGGTCGTATATGAATGTAATGGAATGCTATTGTTCCATAAGAAATCATGAGCAGGCAGATTTCAGAAAAACCTGGAAAGACTTACATGAACTGATGCTGAGTGAAGTGAGCAGAACCAAGAGAACATTGTACACAGCAACACTAACATTATGTGATGATCAACTTTGATAGACTTAGCTCTTCTCAGCAATGCAATGATCTAAGACAATTCCAAAAGACTCATGACGGAAAATGCTATCCACATCCAGAGAAAGAACTATGGAGTCTGAATGCAGATTGAAGCATACAATTTTCTCTTTTTTTGGTTGGTTTATTTTTTCTTGTGGTTTTTTCCTTTTGTTCTGATTGTTCTTTCACAACATGACTAGTGTGGAAATATGTTTAATATGATTGTACATTTATTACTTATATCAGATTGTTTGCCATCTTGGGGAAGGAGAAGGGAGGGAAAAAAATTGGAACTCAAAATCTTATAAAAGTGAGTATTGAAGTCTATCTTTACATGTAATTGGAAAAAATAAAATACTATTAAATAAAAAAATAGTACAAACAAAATGAATCTTAATTTTAAAAAACTGCCCAAAGGAGATTACAATGCAGAATGAGTGATAATATATGCATGTATGTAGGTACACATAAATATATACATACATGTATATTTACATATAAATAAACATGACACAAAAAATACAGGAGAATATAAATGGAATACCACTCAACTCTGGAATCCCGTCACTACTTTGTTGCGATGTAGGCGCTAATATTCTACTCAAATCTTTATCTAGTATATTTTCTAACAATAGCACAGGCAGGAACCCTAAGTCAAATAGCAAAGCATTCCATTAGGAAAAATTAGCAAGGTATAAATAATGGAACAATCTAGGAACTGACTCATTTTCAATTTTCTAATCCAGACATAGGCATAATCTTCCACCAACTGTTTTTCTTTGGAGAAGGAATCAACTCCCCAGCAAACTCAGGTTTCTCCATGGTGAGGAAGGATTGTGCTGTGTGTAGAACATCTGTCTAATTTTAATTTTCATGTCTTTCTTATTCATTTATACATCTCAGCTTCTGCCATTGAGTCTTAATTGTATCATGCTACCACAAGCTTCCATTTATTGATTCTCTGCTGAGAGACTACTGCCAGTCAGGAAAGCCGTCATCTGCTGCTACTTCTTCCTCACCACCTTCTGGAGCTGTCATATGCTGCTATGTCTGCTTTTTCTTCCTGGGGAGTCTTACTGCTCTATCACTCTGGGATATCACCTCAGGTCAATATGCCTTGGTAATAATTAGCCCATTTTCAGCTTTTTTTCCCCCTCAGACTTGAACTGCTTCCATTTGTTATACAAAGGATACATAAAAGGTCACTCAGGAAGGTGTCAAGACCACAGACTACTGTAGAAAAATACTACCTCCTCACACCCTCCAACCCCCTCATAGCAGGCAGGAATTCATGGAACCTCTTCCTGGCCCTAGGGTTCAAATTTTTTGCTCCTCACATAGTTAGGGCCTCTTGCTGAGTCTTTCTGAGTCTGGGGGTTAAACAGATTGCAGATCTTTTCAAGGATCTTTTCAGCTCCCATCTTGCCTCCCCCTGGGCCATGTACATTGCTTCAAAGATCTGATAAACTACTGGGAGAAACTTTGTCATCCTGGAGGGACTTTGATATGTCTGATGACCCTTATCCTTCATTACCACTGCCATGACAATGATCTCTGGCCCCATCATAGGAGCAGCACAGAGTACTCAGAGATGTGCTAATGGAGAGATCACTTGGGGGAGGGAAGTTTTCATGGAAGCATTTATGCTGGGAATTGACATAAGAGTAAGGTTTTAATGGGCAGAGACTGGGGTGGGGTGCCGATGTTGGTTTCAAAAATGTGGAACACATGAGAAAAGAAAGGAAAGAAGGAAAACCGTGAGATGAATTGTCTTATTCTCTATATCTGCATGGTGTAACTTTGGCAGGAACATCCTCTTGGGGCCAGAAGAATGGCTTGGAGGAGGCTGTCTTCTGGGGGTGGGGGAGGCATCACCAAGAAGAAACTCCATTGTGGCTAATATTGGTGGGTGACATTACCAACCAGGCTGTGCTCCTTATCCCCAGGACCCAAATCCAATAGATCAAAAGAAATGTTCTTAGGAAAATATGTTTGGGATATGATATAAAGTTGTGGTAGTCTATGTATAGTACCCACCTGGGAAAATTAATTCATAAGAATTAAATGAAATTAAGTCATGAGATACTATTGCCCAAGTTCTAACCCTTTTCTCCCTCAAACATTCTTAATATCCAACATATTTTTATCAAGGGCTGAGCACATACATGGTTCTTTGCCAGATGTGGCAGAGCCAAAGACAACAAAGGAATGAACTCTCCCTCGAAGAGTTTGTATTTTATAATCAGTTGTGTGAGTTCCTGAGTCCTGTCCATCTTACCTCTCCAACAGCACCAAAAGCTCTTGCTATTAAAAGTTCTTCCAAATCAGATTTCTAGAGACTAAGCTTGGGAGGAGCCAAGTCCCTTGACTGAGTGCTCTTTGGGACCAAGTATTCTTCCTTCCACTGCCCAAGTACTTCACCCCTCTCTGATTTCTGTCTTGTTCTGAGAATCAAAATCAAGTCAACACTGTAAGTGCCTAGACAAAGGGTGTATCAATGGATTATTCTCTTCTTCATCTTTGTGACTTTCCAGACCATAAATCTTTTTTTTTGACCACCACACACCCCTAAATGTCTTGTTTCCCCTGTTAGAATACAAGTTCCTTAGGGGTAAGAACTGTCTTGTATTTTATATTGGTATCTTTAGGTCTTAGCATGCTACTTGGCATTTAGTAAAAGCTTAATAAATTCTATTCATTCAATCATTCATTCATTCATTCATTCATCCATAGCTCCTGAAACAATATTTTCTATCCCATTGCTACTATCATCACCCTAGTTCAACCTTTCACCACCTCTTTTCTGGAGCATAGCAGTACTTTCTAAGTAATATTCTCATTTCTATTGTCTAGTCTTACCTAAATAACTGGGCTTTGGTATATACCCACATCATCTAAGATGGAGGTACACATAAGGGAGATTTCTGCTACTTGGGGAAAACCTTCTATGAAAGTGAAGGTGAGGGTACCGTGAAAGTGATGGTAACCTCTTTCTGATGGCTGCTTTGCTGGAACAAGGGTGGCTTTGAAACTACCATGTGGAGTGAGTCTTGCTCTCTTTTTAGTAGGGTCCTGGGGATGAAATTCTCATTCAACCAAAGATTGCATACCCTGCTCTGAACAGAGTGTGAGATAAAGACCAATTTACTCCCACCTCTGTTAGGCACTATGGCCCTGCTCTAAGAATCAGATTTAGGGTTTTTGGTTTGTTTCATTTGTCCCATTTCAGATCTAGGTGCATGTGGTGGAGCCCGCAGACCTAGTTGCTCAAGTGATGGCAACATTAGAGGTAGAATTCCAGGACAGATGGAAGCCTCAAGGTCATCTTTTTATTTAGAACTAAATGAGACCATGTTCTAAAAGAATTGAGTTAAGCTGTGAACATAATCCCTCTCCAATCCCCAAAGAATGAGGTAG